CTTATACTACCTTTGCTATACCACTAAATTCAAGCATGTTTGCCTTTCACCAATTTCGTATAAACTCGGACTGGCTCTGGCCTACATCGAAGAGGAAAGAGTATACGACGAGGAACCGCCGACCGGTATCCACTACCGTATAGAGTGATGATCGACAACGGTATTGATCTTGAGCTGGTCTACAAGGATCAAGACCCGGGATTCTTTATCGGAAAGTGCATAAAGATGGGTATTGCTCGACGCTTCGTAGAAGACATTCGGCGCTGGGTCGAGAACGTGAAGAAAGCAATCCCTACTTATGAGATAACTTAGCAACAATCCACTTTGGCGTTGGCGTACATGGCGTTGAGGAGATTTAATATAACCTAGTGCTGTTGACCGCAGGTGCAATTGACATATTATTAGTTTCACGAGTGTTGATTTGTGTAGCTGCAATTGTTGTTTTCAGGCTAATACTGTAATTGAGGCTAGGAGAGCGTTTATTGACGGACTTGGACCGGATCTGCACCATATGTGGGGCTGACTTTTACTAATAGTGTGGGGATGGCTATCGGAATACTGAGTAGCTTATGGGTTTCCGCAGCAATGTGGTGTGGCACTGTGTAACCTGCGTAAGTGCGGGTTCAGCAAAGTAGGTTGAATTTGTTGAGAATTTAGGCAGTTGACTTATGGCTTATGCCATCTGTGAGCCATACATTCGACTGCGGCGATTATTCATCATTTGTGTATCGGATTTGGACGGATTTAGACTAGCTTAAGCAGACTTTTTCGTGTATATAAAGGGTTTCTCATAACAAATGAGAAACTCTAGACTTAAATCATCTTCTGCACTGCAGTATATCTCTTACTCGTTATGTCTCTCTTTTGAATTTTCAACAGAATTGCATAACATTCATCGCTGAATTTGTTGCAGAAGAAGCTCTAAAGTCCCGGCGCCATGTAGAGCTCTTCTCTGGTCGTGTTGGCCTGCTCTCGTTGAGCCCCATCACAAACGTAACGCTAGATTGAACGCTCTATACTTGGTACTCTTCTTTGACAGATAATTGCTCAATCTTCGGAAGTTCATTTTGAGCCGTTTTGACCATCTCGTGGTCATCTTCCTTTAACCTTTCGTTGTCATTCTCCCTCAGCAAGAATAATTCAATGTTCAAACTCATGTCCCTCGCCTTCCATCCCTCGTTCAATCCTTGTCGAATTGCCCTTCGCCATACGTCAGCGTAGGCGTCTTTCCAACTCTCAATGAACTCTTCTGCTTCTTGCTTAGTGCTAAAACATTCTTGGCACGCGGTGGTTCCATTGATCGCTTTTTCTGCATTCCTATGTTATGTGAGAATCTATGTTGGACTACTAAAAAAGAAGCCTTACTTCCAAGAAGTGAACACTCTAGTAGACTTGCCACCTGCAACGGCATAGTGTTTGCCTTTTTGTAACGACGTGACTTTAGTTTCAGCTGATTTTTTGACAAATATATCAACGTCCTCGAAGCCTCTCCCTTTCATTGCCTTGCGAGCCTCCTCGAGTGTGTCGAACTTCTGATGATCGGCGCCTTCGCATCCTATAACTATTGGGTGCGCTTGACTCCTAGGCCAGTAGCATGTCAGTGCATCAAACGTCTCTTGCCAAGTTTGATTCAATCCTACCAAGATGAATATATGGTAGGCTTGTCAACACGACCTTTGTAGACCGCATAGAACTTGTCGCTTCTGCTAACTGGTGGAGCCATAGGCGAACTACTTCGTTGATTGCTTGTCTTTAAGCGTCGAATCGTATGCACTGGGAGAGAAAAGAAACTCCGAGAGTATGGCAACAATCCTGATATCATATAAACTAGATTTCGGGCATATATATTGGTGTCTCAAGGGCAGCTAATGGCTTTTAGCTGTGTTTGGCTTGTGAATGTTTGATGAGCTGGCATTATGTGTCACCACCTAATTGGATGGCCCAAAATAGAAGGTCTTGAGGCGTACCTACGGCGCTATTGGCTTAGACAACTCCATCACAGCCACGTTGCAAAGTTGTGTGGTAACGTTAGAGGGTATTTTACAAGATCTCTTATACATAAGCGGGGAAATATGTTAAATATGTTTTCGTATATAAATTCATGCATAGGGAAGTTGAGCGACCAGATCACCCGGGTTGAAATCCTTCTTTATTACGCCATCTAGATCCTTAGGCTCGACACATGTACATCATCTGCCTAGCAGGTTGATCGAGCGCTTAGGTGACTGAACCCCTGTACTTCACTCACCTGAGTTCAATTACCTTACCCCTCACTTCTTCACTCGGTAGTTAACTAACGTAATTCACTACCGAGCGGCCACCACAACCGAGTGGCTAGGCCTCTGCACAGGACCGAAAAGACCGCAACCAAGATCGCACCAGACCCGCACCGCGCGGTCTTTGGTCCTATACCTTGAGACCGCTGGGCGGTCCTACCTTTTTTAGGACCGCACCACTGCGGTTTGGTGCGGTCCTGCGGTCCTGTAAAGAAGCAAAAATTCTAGACCCCCGTGGCATGCATAATTTATGTAGAAGCCGCCGGTATTTTTGAGTATTTTGCTTTCAACTCATACTTGATTTTATACAATTCAAAGGTAGGAGGAAAGACTAATTCTTTGTTTAGCTGCTATAAATCTCTGCCAAAAAAGCGAGGATTGACTGATTCTTTCAGGAATGGCTGATTTGATTCTTGTTTCTATTAAAGATATACAAAATCCTCATCCTGTCTCAAGCGCTTTGGAACACGCCCAGAGGAACGCCTCTGAGTAGTTCTTTCTTCTCACAAGTGGCTATTATCAGGCAGGGGAACCTCATCATCCTCGAGTTCAATTAGCTGATCCGATATAGCCCTTCTCTTTCCAAGGGCTCGCGCATTAGGATTTTGGATAGTTTCGGCAGAAGCTTCAGAATTAGATAGGTCCTCTTCATCATCACTGATTGGATCAAATTCTTCCTCTTTCTTCTGGGCATCCTTCTGCTCTTTCTTTGCTTGCTTCTCTTGCGTAGAAAGATACTCATCAATCAGGGCAAGCTGCTCTGACTCCACGTCGAACTTTGTTGTACACATAAACAACATCAATTCCTTAATTGTCTGCGGTTTTAATGAGCCCCGGCGATAATGACAGATATCACGGGCAGAGTTAAACAACCGCTCAACGCCAGAACCACTAGCGGGTGTTGTGAGGACGTCTCGGGCAAGGCTTGCCAGAATAGGGTATTCATTTCGGTGTTCTTTCCAGAAAACGAGAGGCGTTGCTTCAACAGTACCTAGTAAGGTTAGTATGGGAGAAGGAGTATATAAGAAGGGATTAAATTACTACTTCCAAGATACCGTGTAAGCTCATCTGGAGCCGTCGCTTTTGACTGAAGAGATACAGTAGATCTTAGAAGGATGTCAATATCAGAGACGTCTTGACTTATAGCCTGGAGAGTTGATGTAGACTGTTTCTCTTCGTAGCGCTGCCGGTAAGGCTGAATATAAGCCTCTAGCGACTTCTTATAGCGTGGCCCCCAGTGAGGTTCCCATTCTGATGTTGTAAAGAACTCTAGCTTGTTCCGTGGCGCCAGGATAGTCGCAATTGCATAGAGATCACCAGGGATATCATCAGTCTTTCCATAATACTCGGTAAGCTTATCTCGCGCACGATCGAGCGCGGACTTCATCACCCTCTTCCAACCAACCTTCTTCTGCGCGAGCTGCGCTTTCGCCTTATCAATGTGGGTGAACAGGGCGTTATAGATACCAAAGACGTTGTGAATGATCACATCTGTAGTTGCTGAAAGAGACGAGGTAAATTTGAAGAAGGGATAGGTGATTGACAGAAGATAGTCAACTTGTCGCCATTCATCTCCGTCCATCCTCATATCAGTAAGGTTGAACTGGACACAGAAATCATCAAAGGCGGACTGTAACCGCTTAGCACGCCGGAGCATAAGGAACGTTGAATTTCACCGTGTCCGAACATCTTGTATAGGCATAAGCTTTGGCTCTTTTGTCTGAAGCCTTATGAAGCTCTCACGGCGCTGAGGACTTTTGTTGATGTAGGATGCTACCTTCCGAACCTAAAAGATAGTACAAGTTAGTGAAGAAAGAGAGATAAGAGTAGGAGATTAGATAGATCCAGACCTTATTCAGAGTACCCACGATCGTTCTATTCTCTTGCCGAGCTATATGCCCTATCCCACGGGGGGTGGTGAACTCTGGCAGAGTTCAGGTTAGGGTTTCTCCTTCACTATGGGAGAAAAAAAGTGGGTCCCGCCAGGGTTCAGGTTAATTTTCCTCGCCAGGGTTCAGGTTTAGTCTGACGTCCAATCGACCTCAAACTTTGATAAGTTATAATAGATGTAGTTAAATATCTCCCATTTGAATCTCAGATCATACGGTCCTCTAGTTATTAGTACTTACGCGATTGAAATCGGAGATAGTTTTGATGGGGTGCGGCCAACTAGGCTGGTTCGAGTTGCGACCGTAGCCTAAGGCACCACTTAGGGTTTCAGACCAATTGTATACCCTCGACAGGTCTACTCTACAAGGATCAGGAGGGGTAGGGAATCATTTAGGGGGTTGAGACGATTCCTATTTATAAGTGTAATCAATATTAACTTCATTTCCCCCAAACTCGTCATTCGATATTCATTCGATTTTTCAGTATCCAACCACGTACGATATATATATCTCCCCGTTTACAACACCAACAATGGAACACCAACTTTTTCACCAACCATCAACAGACCCAGTTATCGTCTGTAAGCGATGCGAGTATGTCGTCCGGCCACGGGAGGTATTTAGACATCTCCAATCACCGAATCATCGACTTCCACTACGGATTACTCGTCAAATTAGCGAAGCTATCCAGGATTGGGACCGAAGAGAGTATTGCGACGAATGGCAAGCCCCGACTATAATAACGGAGCCGATCCCCTACTTACCAGTGTATTCGGATGGGCTTTTATGTAGACAGGGCCAGCTATGTCAATTCATCGCAAGGAAAGTTGGGACAATGCGTAAGCACTGGCGTGAACACCATGCCTGGGTCGCACCAGCCAACCACGGCGGCCGTCCGAAACAGCCAGATTTATCAGCCGCCGAGCAGCAGATTCGCCAGTTTACGCAAGTCGTACGCTGTCAGCGGGCATTCGGCCAGGGGCCAGGCTCCCACTACATTCGCGTCCGTACGGTCGGCGCTGAGCTAGTTCTCGAGCCGATTGCCCCGACCGTACTCGGTGACCAGCAACTCGACGAAATTGAGCAGGCATTCACTGAGCGATAGAGTTAGCCCTAAACCATTGAGGCTGGTTAGCGAGATGACGCGAATCCATGGCTTAGACGTGCGCAGTGGGCGGTTTACTTACGGGGGATTAACCCGTAAGATCTACGTGACAGCGTTCAACCACCCGACGCCGACTCAGCGATTTCGGCCGAAAAAGCAGCTTCGGCAATCTGGGACTCGATGGCCGTTATAGCTCGAATTAGCCAGTTGATTTGTACAAAGACTAGCCAGTCGATTCGCACCGAGGTAGTCCGTACGGAGCGGGACCGATTACCGCATCAGCTACTGCAAGCGTATATGGACGCTAAGAACATCGACCGATATACGCTACCGTGGCAGCAGATTTTGATGTTCTTCGCACGTACGCAGGCTACGCATGAATGGAACAGTCCGAAATACCGATTTTCGAAACGCCAACGTACGGCGTGGAACTCGCTCTGGCGACTAGCCTAGTCAGGTATCGATACGTTACCTAGACCAGCTAGTAGACGTTCCGACAGTGCTAGTTCCGCTAGTGATAGTAATAGCAGCTAGAGCAGCGAGCTTTCAGAGAGTGATACCGAGCTTCGGCAGCGAATCGGCAGCGAATCTCGACCGGATCCTCCTCGAAACCGCACCGAATCCCCGTTTTAACTCGCCCTAATTGACTCGGCATGTCTTGATTTCTGTATTGAGCTATTGAACCACCGAATCAAGGTCGAAGACTACGAGAGCGCGCTCGTTTGTGCCACAGCCGTACTCGGCTAGGGGGAGGGCGGCTGGCGTACGGCGTAGAGCTACCCGCCCATTTTGTCGAAGCTGATTAAGGTGGCTCGATTTATGGTGGTCTATAAGGCATTGAAGTTGGATCCCACGGCTGAGGAAATGCTGTATCAGCTGACAGAGCATCAAATGGCTGGCGATTGGGAGATCGAGAGTCCACTAGATTCCCCCGATTTCACGTTTTTATCGCAGGCATCAGATAACTTTTTCGATTTTAAGAACTTGCAGACTGACCTAGCTCCGCCACCCGCGAGCCAGGCATCCTAGTTCATCTAATTTAGCCAGGCCCAGCGGCAGACCTAGCGGTTATTCCGCGAGTGGGTGATGGAATACAGCGTCTGGAATGGCTGGAATTGACAGTATAGCACCCGACCAAATTGCATATTGTTTTCATCCCGCGTAACCCAAGCTATGACGCATACCACCTGCATGTGCGTTGTACTCAGTATGATTCTAACTTATAACTGGTTGAGCTTTAGCGGACTTCATGATTGGTAGATAATGTAGATCAGTAGATTGCCTTGGAGAGAACCTCGAGGATCCTCTAGAGTCAGTTTTTTTTTTCTTATAAATTTTCTTCTTACGCACATGATAACCAACTTGGGGCTCCTTCGGTTACGTAGTGTGATGCCCATTTGGCCAACCAGTTGGCCACCTAATCAACCGGCTTCACTCTCAACCTTTCTCAACTTTCTCAATTTCCCATCCAATATTTGCCAATCGAATATCCAATTTTGATGTAATGACCAACATATCTGAAGCAAGTGCCCCTGAGTTTGCCAGGTCGTATGTAAAGTTACATTCTTGAGAACGATTGCTTCTAACTTTTCTACGATATAGCTTCCTTTCGTTCTATTGCGGACCCTACGTAAAGATACAAGTCAATTCTGGAAGCCACGAATACACCGTGTCAAAATCTCTTCTTTGCAGAGCGTCTGCAGATTTTTCTGCGATGTTCGAAGGTGAATTCAAAGAGGGCCAAGAGCAGAAAGCAACCTTGGACAAAGTCGAAGGTGTTGTTTGAGCGCAAAGTTTCGAAGCTCTCTTGCAATGGCTATACCTCGGTAGGGTAAAATTCGAATTGATGATACTCGAAGATCAAATTTCAGCTGCAATAGAACTCGCGAGATTTGCTGATATGTGCCAAATCATTGGACTGGAATCCGAAATGGCCCGATACATCAAAGATATACTTATTGCAATCCGGAGCCCGAGCCGTTTACAGGACGACAGGTCGATATATATACCTATTGTCTCGAGCCTCGGCATATCATCTCGGCAACGCTTTTGCCTGATGGCCATTCGGTACGTCGGATTTTAGCCACAGCTTCGGTTGCGGGATATCTTCGCGACGAAAACCACAAATTCAAACAAGAGACTGAACAGTATCCCACCTTTGGATCTGAACTTCTTCAAGAAGTAAGGAAGACTTTGAATGGACTGAAGGTTTCACAGTATGAGGCTACTGTTAATGATCCCTTATGCGGGAGGCGGATAAAGCTCAATCATCTTTTTGTTTGATTGAAATCACAGATCGTCACAAACAGAGGCTTGTCTACTACTGTATAAGCCTATTGCTGTTTAATGTTCAAATCATATTCGATTGTGAAATCGAAGTACTCAAAAGTTTTGGAAAGCTTCTGGTCCGTGTAGCTCCCGTTATCTTAACATCATCACAAGTATCGAAACTTTACACAGTATGAGGATAAATAGAGCCTATGTAAAGTTTTTCTTGGCTAAGCAGACTTGTAGTAAATCCGCAGCAAACCGAAATCATTCAGATGTCTTTCAGGTGAAGGTGTGAATAGCCATGGCAGATAAATCAATAAAAGCAAGCGCATAAGGATTTGGCTAATTTCAGGCTGGGGGAATTTCATAACACCAAACGGGAAGCATAAAATCAGCAAACAGATGGAGGAAACGTCTTGAGTCTCAAGATCACATCTTGGCAAGAAATGTAAAAGGTATTATCAATCGCCAGTTCATGTAGAGTTTCCTTTGTCAATCCTAGCGGACAATGACGAGCGTTCCATCTGGCGGTCTCTCATTTCCACCAGTGTCAATCCCTCTAATACTGTATATAAGTGAATGAGGCGTCAAATTTGAGCCTGGTGTAATTTCCAAAAAGATATGGACTTCAAGTGAACCGGAAACATAAGTCGCTTCTTTGCTGGTGTATAGGATACACGGAACATCTTCTGCCGATGATGTTTTGTGGTTCACAGGAACAGGTCCTGTTGACGACAAGACCTTTTTTGCCATAGGCTCTCCAACTGCAGTGGACTGTAAATTTCGTGAAGAAAGATGTAAAGAGAAAAAACTTCTTGTTGCTGGCGAAAGCGAAAGCGGCAGTAGAGTACTTTCGTAAGGGGTTTGAGGATGAATATGCATAAGACCAACAATTATGGCACCTGCAGTGTTTCGAGTCAGGTTCAAAAGCACTTGATTGAGTTTCTCCTGCAACCCCTTCATTTGCAAAGATTGGGTGATCTCCATCCGGGGTATAATCTCCCATTCAGTACCAAACACGGCAGTCTGTAGCAGATGAGACGCTGAATCAGTCTGCCGTTCCACAGTAGTTCGAGTACTCTGCAGGGTCTGGGGTCTCAGTGATCTCACCACATCCCAACCCGATCCCTTGTAACCAACCGGGCCTAATGCGCCCAGTCAATTATTTTCCAACCAATTTCGCCATTGGCTCTAAGTATATGAACCGACTGGAACCTGAGCTGTCACTGCAGTTCGATCCGCCGAATCTGGAGGAGGCCGTTTGTCAATACCAACGATTCCTGCGTCGCACTGTCGACAATATGCGAGCTGGAAGGTTGATAGAGGCTCGTGGACTTTTACAAGAATTCTCCAAATGGCTCGTGACAAATGCGCGGCATTTAGGTAAGTTGAGGCAAGTGGAACTATACAGTTGAACGAGGGACCTTGGCCAGTTACTATGGCCGTACCACAGAAGTCGCACTCCCAGGCAAGAACGTGAATAGTGCGTATTAGGTGACACGACAATACCATCAGGATCCAACAGGAAGGTGGCCCTATCAATGCCCCCAGATCGTGTGAATGGACCGCACGTAAACAGACTAGTGTCTTCGCCTGAGGCCGCACATCATGTCAGTCACTCGATCGAGACCGCCTCTATCTGGCTTTCCAGAATTTTCTTGGAATCTTCATTTTTCCCCCCCCTATTTTGAACCTTTTTCATTAAAAGATATGACAAGATCATCCCATGGAAAACACGTCCACCACCCAAAGCTATCCACCAAAATATGTTTTTGCCTAAACCCCACCTCAGATTGACGAACCAGAATCCAAACTCCAAGAAATGCTGTGCATGATCCTTCTTCGCTGTTTACAACTTACTGGCCATGGCAATGTACCTTTCTTAAAAAGCATTAATGTTGATGATGTCATTAGTCCGAGCGCTAGCCCCGCCCGCTCTGCCAGCTGACGCAGGCTCCGGTGCTTCCGGCGCTTATAAAATTCAAGAACGACAATGTATTGCAAGGTGAGAGTCGCAAGATAAAATATAAACTGTGCAGTTCAAATGTCTGATTTCGATTTAGCGAATAAAGTCCAGCATCTGGTTATACAACCCGCAGACTTGCGACTGAATCCACCAGAGAGCTATCTCTACGTTCAAGATGGGCTGATTATTTCCTGCGGCTTTCTCTACGTTCTGTGCTATTTATTCTGCACATTCCGCGCATATAAAGACCAGCGAGTCCCTGGATCGAGCTATGGCAGTGTCCAGTATCTGTAATGCCCACCCCCATATTTAAATCGCATCGTATAACACCTGCTAACAACCCAACCAGATGCCTCACAATGGCCTACGAATTCTTCTACGCCTTCACCATCACATCTACAACCATAGAGCGAGTCGGCTTTCTCGCCTGGTTCATCCACGACTTTGGCTACGTCGCAGTCATCCTTAAGCACGTCCATCGCGCAGAGCACAGACCCCGACTCATCCGGAACATGCTCATCGGTCTCCTCCTGGGTATAGCCGGCTTGAAATGGCTAACGACCCTCTACCCAGATGATCGTGAACAAGTCACAGCGTATTGGACGGGTATTCTCCTTCAACTTCCCATCGGCTGGGTCTGTTTGCATTCGTTGTACGCGGAGGAGGGGACGAGGGGGCATTCGTTGGAGATGTGGTGGGTTTCACTTTCGTTTTACCACAGCATCAAAATATAGCTAATAGATGCAGGATAACTCGATATTTAGGCTGCTATCTAGCCTACGGGGTATTTATCTGGCGATACTTGAATGTGCCCCAGAATTGGGAATATGTTGCCTCGCCATGGAGTATTGCCATTATGGTCTTGACTTTGCTTCCGGAGACGATATATCCGTTTTGCTATGTTTGGGTGTATAAGGCGCAGAAGGTCAAGGGTGAATAGACGAATTTTCGCATTTATATATGAATCGAGTGGAATACTAAGGCAGCAATACGCACGATTAGACTGCGGCAAATCCGCAAACGCGAATGCCGTTTCCCATCCGCAACCGCAAGATATCCTTGGATGTCTCATTACTATCCACACTAGCATAAATCTCGCTAGTTTACCTCATACTAGACTCTCATGTGACCCTATCCCACGGGGTGCAGTCTGGCAAACTACAGGCTAGGGTTTTCCCTTGACTATGGCAGGAAAAGTGGGTCGTACGCCTGACTGCAAGTGAATTTCGTCGCCTGACTGCCAAAGTCTAGAGGCATCTAATCGGTCTAAAAATTTGACAAGTTATAATAGAGTATCTCAAATATCTTCTTCTAATTTCATTGGAGCATGCGTAGCCTACTAATTCTCGAGAAAAAGGCGATTGAAAATCGGAGGTGCTTTCATGGGGTACCGGAAAATGGGCCTGTTAGGTGTTACGCACGACTAACGGGTCGTCGCTATGTTAAAAGATTCCTAGGTTATATTTGCCTAAATGCTTCCTTGCTTCCAACGTCAAAGATCTGTCTCTCAACCGTACCGTCGCGGCTAAGTCCCTTCGAGGGTATCGAGAAGCGCTGCTAGGTAGAACGCCGAACTAGCCTATACCAGAGTACGGGCGGGTCTATTCGTAGAGTTTTCAAGTCATACTTTCTGTATGCAACTAATTGGGAACCGTTTCACATGGAAAGCCCGTCGCTTGTCGGACTTAACGTCCAATGGCCATTTTCGTCCACTCGCACAATACTGCTTTAACCGACTTCTAGTGCTGGAAGAATCGGCATATTTTTCCTCTCATTCCCAGTAGCTCTTTTCAATGTGATTTTAAAGCTAGCAGGGTCTTTGAATCCCCCGGTGTTCTTTTAGCAGTGTATGTTCCGTGCCGTGCATAATTAATGCTCTGGCTTGTAGATCCACAGATGGTTATTGCGTTCGGGGATTGCCATTCCCTAAAAAAGCCAACAGGTCTGCGACACTTCTATGTTCACCTACTGATTGAGGGTTTTCGTTAATGCTGCGCCAGCGCAAGAAGTAAACTGTGAGGTCCGGAACACAGTGTCGCAGATCAGGAACAGTCGCAGCCCCAAAATAGTGTCGGAGAAACCGGCTAATGGTTGGCCGGCAGTAAGTTGACTGAAAAAAAGCGTTGCGAATTGCTGACGTATTTATCGATTGGCTAGCTGAAGATGACTGCCATGGATCTCACGAAACGAGTTCGTCGGTGGCAGACGCTGGGCTGCGTATTCGAGATGAGCTTATAAAGCTTATCCCAAATTGTGGGTGCTCTCAAGGGAGCAGGCCAAACAAGGGATTCTCCTCCTGAATAGCTATCGGTCAGTTTGTCAGTCGGGTGGTGAGAATCACACTCGCCGTGCGTGTACTGATTCTTTCGATTATGTCTAATAGAATATTATTGGCCCGCCTCACTATCACAGGTTCTTTAAGCACCTTAATTTGTCGTTGACAACTAATAACGCGACCTTGTTTTTGATCACTGCAATTAAGCTTCGGACTCTGCACTAGTCTAGATTCGGGGTGGTCCTTCGTGCAATGCTCATGGTTCCTCATTCCCAAATGCAGTATGGATGCAAGAAAGGGCTTCTAAGAGGCTAGAATGTCTAGGATAGCCCTCTTGAGATGATTATCGTCCCATGACGTTGTCCGACACAAGCAGGTGCTCTTGAAAGAGACTGTAGCATGGGAGGGGATTCTCAAGAACATTTCATTCTCAAGATGACCTTCTTCTGATCTTAATGATTCCAAGAGGGTCCACACAAGAAGTTCATATTCATGAGACCGGTTTCTTGACACAACACGAGTCTTGATATCTACTCTATAGATCGTATACGCTCTTTTACTGGCACGTGTTCCAAGAAACGATTTTAAATTGCAAACTCTCCTAAGAAGTATACTCACAAACGTTGAGCCCTAAGGGCAGCACTCATGTTCAAAAGCTCAATAAAGTAGCTTCGACCCTGTTCTAGTTAATGAGATTGCTAGACCGTAGGTAAAAATGCTGGGCATATGTTAATGTCAGTGACTGCCCACAGTCCGGAATATAATGAACATCCTCTGGGACTACCGAAGACGACTAGCAATGAAACGTTCCAATTTCGCCAGACAACCTTGTCCCTTCATTGAATGAGAGCAGAGACCGGCGTCTTCTGCATGTTGGTAAAGCGCCGAAAGCTTGGAAAAATTCTTGGTACAACTCGGACATACGTAAGTCCATCCTCCACCTTCAATATCGTCATCAATATACTTCCGGCTTTGGAAACAGTCGTGAGCAATTTCATCAATTTCATCCGCGGTCACCTCCGACTCGCAGTTCCCAGATTCCAGGTGTATCATCATCCCAGAGAACTTTTTGAATGTCTGGTAGCAGCCGTAGCATTCCATGTTTCGAGGATAGTGCTTTTGTTGATGCTGTTGGCTGGTTAGGTATCGGCTGCAAATGTCATTCATTGCTCCATTGGTATCACTGATACTGTACCATTTGTAAATTGTTCTTGTTTCGGAAAAATTCACCACACTTCAAACAAAGGCAATGCTTCTCAACATCATGCTCTTCAAGTTGCTTTTTTGAATCACAGCAGATGTCACAGTTCGGACAGTAATGATGACACTCGACAAGGTGATCTTCAAGATCGTTGTCGGTCTCAAAGTCCAGTAACTGAGGACAGCTCGAACAGATATGATGGAAACTGGATTCTTGAAGATGTGCATTCTTTGCAGAACCCGAAACAAACACTCGGGAGCATCGTTCACACCACGCATGGCGACTTGTTTGTCTGCAATGATCGTAAAGAGCAGCTTCATTGCCAAAATGCCTTTCGCAAAGAGTGCATTCGTACTGCCCGTGACTGTAATCGAGATACGCGCCAAGCTTCATGATGATTTGATTGAACAAGAACGGAGAAACTAGGTTGTGAGCGGGGTAGAGGGGTTTAATCGTATGGCCCTTGGACCGCTTCAGGTGACAGGCTTCCCCGCTTGCCTGATAATTCCGCTTGCATCATACATGAGATAAAATGCCTCAATTACCACAGGCTTGAATAGGAGCAGCCAATAGTTATGTGCAGCGGAAGTATGGAAAGCTTCCGGGACCCACACCATTGAGCGATCCTATTAAACAAGTCTCCGCCAGATCAACGTGCAAATTTTCTTGCAATTGACCCTCATCCTTCACCACTATAGTATTGTACTACTCGTCGACGATGTCTTACACTGATCATCGTGGAGAGCATCGTTGATATTGATTGTGCGTTCGGTCAACTTCCAAATGACCGTTGCTGTTCATCAACATCAAGTGTCTTCAAACAGTGTCTGTGCTTTGCCCGCGTTCAAATTTGCCTTCCAAATTGATTACCCGTATCAGATACCGCTTTCGCAAGACCCTCATGTTCCTGAGATTATATTCCATAGCATAGTTCCTAGGAGTGCTCTTGGTCGCTCCTAGGGATCAGACTCATAACTCCTAGGATTGTCAGGGATATAGATGAGGCATACACGCTAAGCCGAAGACGCGGACCCACATGGCGCATCTGGGTTCCCCTGAACACGAGGAAGCTATCTTGCTTTTGCTTCCTCGCGCTACGTCTTGTATCTAGAGTCGACCCTACCTTTTGTTAATATGACACTTCATTGAAAAGACACGCTCCTCATCAACAGATACGTGATACCCTCACAGGATACATACAGCTCCTGGGAGTGAACTGGATAGCCCCAGGAACGAGTATTGGTTTCCCCGGGCTTTTTAATTTAGCAAGATCGATGCTCAAAGTTATGCTCTCACGATAAGCGGATCTAAAAAAATATAAGTTTTTCTCGGTTAGGCTAATCGGATGTTCGGTTTCCTGCAAGTCATCGTCGCTTATCAGTGTTAGGTCCAATAGTAGTTGACAGACAGAACTTGTAACACCTTAAACCCGCTATAGCAAGCTTTTTGGAAGTACTTTGATCTGGGACAAATAACAAGCTTATGGGCCGAGAGAATGTTATCCTTGCAAATAATGGTCAAATCCTTGCTTTCGAATAGCCTCAATTGCTGATGAAAGCCTACCCTCTTGCTCAGTACGATTTTGAGAGGATTGAGGACAAATTGGTGGCATGGTGGGTGGTTAAAGAGAAGAGGTTTAATTAATTGACGCGTTTTTGGGTGCGCAGCTTGGGGGTCTGTTACGTTAGTTACAGAAGTAAACAAATATGGTTTAGTGCCTCATGTGATTACCAATAGTCATAACCAGGAGAACTGATCTGTCACACCGCTCTTTCTCCCTCTCTTGAGGGGCAAATATAGAGTTGAGGCTACCCCTGGGACTTGACGAAACACTGGAATTGAAAAAATTGATAGAATAATTTTGGTTGAGCACCAGTCTTGTTACTCGCCGCGACCCTTTCTAACCAAAAAGTGCAATATGCCCTGCACCAATCGCCAGTTTACGCGAAGTGAGGATACATGAAGTATTTTGATACATGATGTAACGGACTACTGTAATCCGAGCCCGGCTTGAACTGCAGTCCAAATCGCAATGTCGGCGCTTAGCTGCAGGCCTGATCACACCTGGTCTCTCATAAGTATGTATTTCTGTTGATCAGGGATTAACTGGCATCATCCTTATCCCAGCTCTGAGTCCTGGAATTCTCTGCGATAATCTCAAGCACTTGAATGATTGTCAAAGAAACTTGGATACATGAAAAATTTGAGGTTAGCCTGCCGTGGCGAATTCTTTGGATCTTGATCAGAGGGCTTTTACAAACTAAATCTATTCAAGTTCTTAGAGTCCCTTGGCACATTTTCAATCCATAAGTTGTTCCATTTGTGGACAACGCCAACCTGCTTTTCTGAATTCAGTGTTCTACAAGATTTGAATGTACCAGTTGACCTCGATGTCTGATCACGAGGAAGCTCAGCCTGCTTGCGTTGTTGAAATAGCCGAGACTGGTGATGTTTTTCTAGTCACGGGCCCGGAGAAGCTCAAGTTGCGTGTCGAGTCGCTCATTCTCAAAGCAACATCCAAACCATTTGCTGCCATGTTGGGGCCAAATTGGACAAGAGGCCGCGAACAGCCTAGTTCGGAGAAACCAGTGGAAATACTTCTCCCTGAAGACAATGCCGTCTCTCTAAAGTATATTTGTGCAGTTACCCATTCTCGGAGCCAAATGATTCCTAAGGATGTTTCAGCACAGGATATTCTCGACATTGCAATTCTGGCTGACAAGTACGATTTTTTTGATGCTTTGGAAATGGCGAGCCGATCCTGGCTTCAAGTTTGTGAGAAAAATGAAGCAGGAAATATGGCTCTCATGGCTGCAGCATTCGTGTTTGGGAATGCGCAATCTTTCAGACAGACTTCTAAGGCTCTCGTTATGGACTATGCTGGTTCTTACCTTGAAATCTATACCGAGAGGATTGAAAAGATAATGGATTGGAGAGCGGTCTGTAAGTGACTCCAAGTTTCAAATATTTAATCGAGGTAACTAGCTCACACACGCGCAACATGACTAACTTCAATTATCGCGAAGATTGGTTAGAGGAACAAAGACATTTTGCGAGACTTCAGCTGGCAAATATACTGATCGGGGGGATAAATGATTGTTCATGCTCAATGAATTGTGGGTGGGGAAGCAAATATGCATTCGCCTATTTGAAATCACTGCAAGAGGAGAATCTTTGGCCAAAAGACATACTCGGGGTCTCTGAGTCAATAAAACGAGCAACAATGATGATTGATCCCATTCTGGAGGAGGCCAGTGTTCCATGCAGCAATGACCGATGGCATAGGGTGCCAAATCACAGGAAATCACGTTCTTACGGCTTAGAAGATCTCGACCACAAAATTGGCCTTTGTCTTCACTGTATCTTGTCGAACAAGTCGAATACAGGGTGTGGATGTGAGCATACGAGACATGGATGATCTCCTGTCGTGAGATTCAGGAGCGGGATACGAACGCAGAGACTTCAGCTGGGAAGTATACTGATCGGAGGAATGAACAATTGTTCATGCTCAAAAGGGTGTAGGTGGTGAAGTAAACGTGTATACGCCTATTTGAAACGACTGCAAGATAATATTAGCACGATTGAATTTCCAGACGTGAGCAAATTGGTATGCAATCAAATCTGTGTGCATCGAAGTTTCGGGGATATTCCATGGAGTTAAAAAAAGGTTAGCGCTGTAAGGGTGGAGGCCAGTCTGACGTGCCATATCATCCAATTTATTTCTCATTTTCAAATTTCGGGATCTTCCTACCCTTCTTAAGAACACGGTCGGTCGATGGTAAAATGAGGAAATGATTTGACTTTTGCGAAAGTCTGTCCGTTCCCATATAACCTTTGTCAAAGGGTTCCAAAGACCGAGGCATCCGTTGATAAATTTGTACCTGAGCTTTATACATCGAACATACGAGCAGACGGCGTCTGTTGTCATCAAAGCTGATCTCAGTCCTGTGCCGATTTTTCCCTCCAGTCATGCATCGGTGATCAGAATGTTAAGCTAGCTTGCAGATATAGGCTGATGCCCCCAATCAAATCTATTGCAACACTTGAGATGAGGAATAGGTCATCGTGAGATTATCTTTCCCGGCGCTGCCGCTCCAGACACTTGGTCTGGCGCTCTGTAATCCGAGAAAAGACGTTGTGAACCGCGCCTGCATTGCCAAATCCAGGTCAACCTTGGGCTTGCCCAATCCGACGTGAGATTATCCGCATGAACAGCCCTTGGGCGCCTCCTTCGATTTGTATACGTCCCTGATACTTCTGATCTATGCGCTGGTGCTTGGTGGACTGCAGTCCTGCATCAATGTAGTCGTCAAACTGCATTTCCACGGGAAATCTGCTCGGAATCTGAGGGTTATGTGGAAAGAAGCTTTCCATGTCTTTGTTGCAGCGGGCAATGATGAACACAATCTTGCCAGTGAGGACTTCCACTTCGGCCAGTAGGAAGTCCAAACTGCACTCCCGCCCATGATATTCCCTGATGTCAAATGGTAGGCCTCATTGATAAAGAGGGCCCCTCCGCCTTTCGACCGAATCTCATCGTTATGCTTTTTACATCCCGGGGTCCTACCAGGTGCCAATTTGGACCCGGAGGTCTCCATAAAGATATTGCCTGGAATCACACCCACCGCACTCAGAAACTGAGCGTACAGCCGGGCGACAGTGGCTTTCCCTGCGGTAAACTCGATATTATGAACTAATCTACGGTGGGTGAGATCAGGACAAAGACGTACCTGTGCCAGGATTTCCGAGAAGGTCCGCACTGAATCGTTCGTCGGAGAGATCGGCGCTTTATTCTAGAACCCTGGGATGGACACAACGCGAACTGTAGTAGGGCGAATGTAAGACAGGTGAGACATTCGCGGAAGGATTTTTTTTCTCATACAGAAGATGAGATATTAAAGTCTCAGAACAAGTTAGGCGATGTCTCAATGGAGAGCTTGGGACTGAAACTCCGATGAACTGATCTCGACGAAGAGGAAGAAGTAAATGCCATTGAAATGGCTCCTGTCATCAGGGTTGAAGTTTCATCGGCAGGGTTCAATTATAAATTTGTTGAAGTCGCGCAGTTTTTTAATCTCTGTAATTGATCAATCTAATTGCAAAAATCCTTCTCTTTCCGGCAGAATCGGCTTCAATGTCATCTGATGATGACGTTGAGGGTGAGCCTCTGGCCAAACCCGACAGCAGTGCTGAGAGTGCCCTCGTTCAAATGAAGGTAAATGTGATACATCAAAATTGATATGCGAATGACAATTCAAAGCTCATTTCCTTGTGCTCTCAATTTCAATTATCCTCAGAGAAGTGCTATCTACAATCCCGCAAGGTCGTGGTCGCGGTTAGTCTTTCCCCTAAAGGTACAGCTCATCCATGATCTTGCGCGTCTTTTCTTTAAGATTCTCAGATGAGGGCCCTCGCTCATCTCAGTTTGGCCAAGGGAAAAAAGAAAATGAGGGGAATGTGGCCTTTATGTAATAATCTTCCTAGGCAGATACAGCTCAGAGCCGACAAGTGAAAAAGAATGGACTATATTAGATGATCAGGCTTATTAGATATAGGTCATCATATATCAGCCTACCAAATACAGTCACAGACGGCGTAGTGTTGTCGTCTGAAACATGGTTAGACCAATTCTGTGTATTATCGAAATGACTTCATGATGAAGGGGTATGTTTGACTTAAGATTTCACAGTACATTGTAATCTAACTACGAAAATAGCTAGCCTCGGTTGTATATGGAAACAGATGCAAGAATACTAAGTAAATAATCCAGAAATCATTACTTTGAAGTTATAGTAAGAAAAGAATGTCAGACATGATATTCGTTGCGATAATAATATACTTTGTAATTCTGGTTACAACAACAACAACAACAACAACAACAACAACAACAACAACAACAACAACAACAACAACAACAACACAGGACGGCCATGAATTCTGAATCTTCGGAGCTTGGGGGGGTTTCTCCCCTGTAGACAGGGCACAACCCATCTTTGTTGTCATCTTGGGCATCCACAGCCCTTGCGAGATCACGCATGTTTCCGCTCGGAGGTGCTGACTTCAAGTTGGGGTTTTTTCTCAACTATGGCAGGAAAAGTGGGTCTGACGCCAGACTTCAAGGTTAATCTAATGTCCGATCGCTTTGAAACTTTGGCAAGTTATAATGGACGTAGTCAAATATCCCCCATTTGAATCTCAGATCAAGCGGCCCTGTAGTTGTTGAGATTTTTGCGATTGAACTTTCGAGGGAGATTTTTGGTGGGGTGCGACCGACGGATATTATACGGTGAACTTAGTACAGCCCTATCCTACAAGGGGGTGGGGGGGTGGAACTCAGGGCTGAGGGGTGCCGACCAATGTACCCTGACCGTGGCTTTAGGGTTTTACAGAACATACTGAATCTCAATAGGTGTTGCTTTCATCGTTTTGAAAATTGTATACGCTATATTTAACTAGCTAATCTAGATGCTATCAAAAGACTAGGTCATTCCGTTCTGTGCTAAGAGCGTGGTAGCCGATATTGGTCATTGTTTGCAGAATTTCACCATCTCCATATTCGACTCAACACGATGATGATGATGATGATGATGATGAATTCATTTGCCCGATGTAGCTCGCTCTATATATATGCTGCTATGCGGGAGTGCTGTCAGGCCAGCCGACAGCTAAAAAGTAGTGGTAATTAACCATGCATTGGTCAAGAGTCCCACCAGCAGGACTTTACTTGACCATGCAAAAGTGAACCAAAACATAAGAAAAAATATTGAATGAGCGTGGCCTGCTTTTTCTCCAACGACATCTCGTGCCCCTTTTCCACTCTCGCTCCGTCATCCCGCGCACCTTTTTTTTTTTTTTTTCCTGCCGTTGGCTGCCGCTCTCGTGTTCGTTCTGGTCAAGGGAGAAAAGTGGACCTGGCGCCAGTCTCCTCGCGGGCATCACTTGTCTTCTTCCGTCACACTGTCCTCAGGGGTCATGATTTCTCTTCTACTGCTTCCACCCCCAACGCAGCAGTATCTGTCCCCAAGAATTGGTTCAAAATTCCTGTTTCGACCATGAAGTCGGCAACATTCCATGCAGTCGTAAGGTAATTGCGACACCTGTAGTCTGCCTCAGACTGCATCCGGGAATAGGGTACAAAAGACGCTCAACAGTGCAGTGTATGCGGAAGGAAATGCGGAAGATTGTTGGAAGTTCGGCGGAAGGTGGAGGAATATGCCTAGGGATGCGGAGAGGACCGCGCCGAAGATGCGGAAGACATTTTGGGTTTGGTGCGGAGGATGCGGAAGACGGAGGAATACGCCGAGATAGGTGGATAGGACCACGCGGAGGTAATCGCACTAAGTTGTTCCGCGATTTTGCCTTATAAAATCTTTCCACGCCCCTCGTCTCCTCTACGCTATCTCCGTTTGCATTCTCAGTCTGCCATCTCCCTACCCTTCGGAAGCGAATTGTGCGAGACGACTGATTCATAATCATGCGACCTAGGCCTCGTGGAGGCCAGCGGGCGTCCTGCAATAATTGCCGTCAAAAGAAACGGAAATGCGATCTTTCATCTCGGTTGGAGCATGGATAAGAACAATGCTCACGATGTGCTGGAAAAGAACGCGAATGCTGTATCGGAAGCCCGAATTCTGCTCGCACCTCCAAGCGTCAGCGCTTAGAGCGCAGCACTCCGAGCAGTTTGCAAGATGAGAGGCTCACCCCTGACGAAAGGAATCCGCCAAGCATGCTGCCCCAGCTACCGTTCCGCGGCGAAACTCCCACAACAGAGCCCCAAGAAGACCCTGGCGCTCTCACGGAGCGCCGCAATTATCCTCCATCCTTGTCGTCAGAAGGCACGGCTGCTACCTTTTCACTGGATGAGCTCAGTGCTCGCTGCTCGACCGACCTCTCCGAACTCAACTCGCAGGGGTCATCGTTCCTCCATCATGTCTTCATCGGTGCTCCTCGAGCCCAATCTTCGGGCACTGCGCCGTTGGCTGCGCAACGTTCAGATTCCCAAAGCGATGACTCACCAGCCCCTGAAAGACCGACAACCACTGTGGTGATCCCAAAGGCCCCTCATTTCAATATCAGATCATCTGCATTTCGTTCAGCGAAAAGCCACTTCGTCGAGGTTTACTTGGCTGGACCAGCCAGTTCTACAGTAGCCTTTTATCGACGTCTCCTGGAGATATGTGACCTCAGCATACTCGATTTCATAGAGTCGCTGCATGCCTACTTTGATTTTCCGGCAATCTATCGTCCCTTCATTCCAGAGGATGCCTTTTGGCAGGATTTTCATGCAGATCGGTGTGGTCCAGTCCTTCTCCTAGCCATTGCCTGTCGCGGGATACCATGCACAGGGGTGAAAAACAAAGAGAAGAAGCAGCGGCGCCTCGCCACAATGTTTCAAGCAGAGTTCATGAAGGCTATGACCCCCAAAGCTCGCACCAGTCCGGTCTGCCTTGATGTTCTAGAGGGGATGGCCCTTATGGTCGACTTCAATTATGACTACGCACACACACACGCAGATGACCCCTGGAATCTGTTCATGACACACGATGCCCTCGTGTTGTTGACTTTGCAGTCTCGAAAACGCGGCCCCGGGGACTTGGATCCTTCGGCATCGTTTGCAAGTGCTGACGAGCGTTTTACACTTCTTTATTGGAACGTGTTTGGCCTAGATGCTTTTGAATGCCTCGATGACAAGAGCATGTCTCTTATTTCAGATGATGCGTTTACTTTGACCGAGGATCTTCTAAATCACGAGGCCGGAAGCTATCTCGATGCCATTCTCAGCTTGTCCATTATTGCGCGTCGGATTGCCGGGAAGCTGTGTAACATCACCGCCGAAGCCGCCGGTATCGCTTGTGAAGATATTCCCGTGCTCCACGAGCAGCTTTCCCATTGGCGCCACAACACCCTGCCGTTGGAGTTGCAAAGACCGATAGACAGAGAGAATGAATTTCCTGCAGAGCATCGCACTACCAGAGAATCTACTCCTATTCCAGTGGGCAGACAGGTTCGCCTTCAACGAGCAATACTATGGGCACTTGAGATCCATTGTTATCTGCAAATCGACGACTGTGTTGCCCAGTATGGCTTGAAGAATGGAAATTCAATCCAGGCGGAAATTTTCAATCTCAAGTGTCTGCAGGTTGTCCTGGAAGCGGTCAACATGGCCAATACAATTGAGGAGTACTGTCCTGGGGATCAAAATTCGGAAAAGCCCTTGGTAGATCTTGCACCATCCATACTGCGAAATGTTTGTGCCGGCTTGTGTTGCTGGGTTTGTTCGCGCGGCATGGAATCGTGGGAGCTACACGAACCACAAGTTCTAGACTCTCATTCATCTTCCCATGAAGGCAGACTTCAGACTCTTGGAAAAGACACTAAAGCGCAGCGGAGGGCAGATTATGCAGAACTTGCGAAGACATTCCGGGATTCCGTAGCCGCTGCTTCGTCACACAGAGACACAAAGCAGATACTCGAGCGCCTCGATGATCAGATCGCCCCTTTACAGGATTTCTGATGCCGAAGCGCATGTTCAGCTGTTATGATATTCGAATGTCTGTGAGGTATGAGGTCTCCTTTGAGGCCGCGCTAAACCCCAGGGGGAATTTTCTAGTACTATTGTTGTCTTAGATGGGCCATGTAATTATGGTAATTGTTACTGCTTGATTTGCGCGATGTAGCTCGCTCTAGATAATCATACTTCAGCATTCACCTTAATGCCCGTGATTGTCAATGTCGACATGCTTGAGTAATTTTGGGCATATAGCATGACAAATGAGCAACAATCTGAACTAAATACCAACTGGCAGAAATCTTCATGATGAAAAGCCAAATCATCCAGAAAAGAAGTCTCTCAGGGCCCCCCACTAGCAAATTAGATAACACGGTTTGAAATATGGCCTCTTCAGTCTCTGCCCAGGCGGGAAGCTTGTTCCTGGCAAAGCTTATCCGACACAGATTAAATCCCCTAGGCTTCCGGGAAAGTGATATCGCGTCAACTAGAAATCCTTCCTAAATACAAGACCGACTCTCAAATTCCCCGATACAATGAAACATCGATTTGTAAACCAGGGGATCACTATAACATCTCCCGCACTTTCTGATCCAACGCCACCTACATATGTTCCTTCTTGGCCATAAACGCTAATTGCACTTCTGCGATTGATACGATCCACCACAACTGCCACGATGTTGGAAGAACAATCGATTCTGTTGCACCTGCCGGGAACAAACCATGTTATCGAGTCACATTTTTCACATGATAACTTTCCATTTAGCGATTAGTTCGATACAAGCGGTAGGTATGACTTACTTTCTCTCTACAGAGCCCAAATAGGTCTCCAACTAACAAAGATGTGGTTGAAAAGTGCTTGAGCACATTCGAATTCGGTTTCTTATTCTCTTGAGGCTCCATTTGGGATTTTGAGTATTCTAAGTGAATTGTTACCATCAGCTTGGCTCACAGAACGATTTGGAGTGCTCTACCAGTCAAACTCTTCGAATCTCTTGATGAGTTCTGGCTGAAAGCCAACAAGACTATGTGGATCTAACAAGAGAGCCCGAAGGAGCCGAATAGTTATCTGATAGTCTTTGGTTGTCGTCGTCTGATTCTTCAGCTCGATATTGGAGGACGGTTGGGATAGATGGCTCCAAAATTGGGATGTACTGAAGCATGAAAAATGGACAGACTTGATTCTATAACACTGAAGGTCATAGTATTTACCCCGCGTGTAGTAGTCACCTGATGAGATAAAGTGCAGTAGAAGCTGGTAAAAAAGTGGTAAAAAAGTGGTAAAAAAGTGGTAAAAACGCGGTGAAAACGTGGTGTTGATAATGTTGGTAACAGGTGGCAGTCAGGAAGATCATGTTAATTAATGTATTAACCTTTACTGGAGCGGGGTCACATTGAATATTTGGATATTTGAGCAAGTCTTACTCGTTGGATTTGACAGGTGTCGATCGCTATGGAGATGGAAAATGCAACATCTTCCTGAGTCCCAAGCATAACGTATAGCAGAGATACGACAAGATGTTGAGTTGTCTTTTTCTAATGTGGAGAGCAATTGTGCTCTAGAGTATTTTCTGGCAAGGGCCACGAATTGATGCGGCAGAATCGGGGAAAAGCGGTGTCTTTAAATACCATATTTGGCGGGCGGTGGGATCAATGAGCAGCCATTCTGCCGACCGTCGTACCGTGAAGTTGTCAACTTTGACGGTCGATATCTTCGGGTAGATATAAATCGATCCAAATAAAAAGTGCGTTTACTTCTAGCTCTAGCTCTAATCTACATGCTTAATTGGGTTTTGCACCCATTGATTCCATGAAAAGTGGTTCCATTTCCCGAAATCCCTCATGTAGACTATATCGGCCGCGCCAAAATCCGCCCAAAACCCCAACCCGCCCATGGGAAACCAACCCAGGGGTAGGGTTGGGTCTTAGTCAGGAAACCTATGGGCGGTGTTGTTTTATAAGTGATGCTTCAGTGTTCTTGTTGTTAAGGGAAGTTGACTGTGTGTTGTGTTGTAACGTGATCCACGGTCGCGCGAGCAACCCCACCAAAATCAAGGAAACCTTCAATTTCTAATCACTGTTAAACCCACAACAATAACGTAAATCTAGCTATTGAACACGTGTAGGGCATTGAGAATATGTATGGCCTTTTATCCCACAGCCAGAACATGTCACCTGCCGCCGAACCAAGGGCATAGAAGGTAAAACATGCTCAGTAGCTGGCTTTGCAGGCACCTTTGGCAAAGATATATCTTTGCTTGTAGATTCATCCCCAACTACCACATCATCTTCACCACCTTCTAGACCCCAAAAGATGCGTTTCTGAGTAGTAAACTTATGCTTGGTCGCTCGCTTTTTGGTCTGTTTCTTGTTGGTAGCTTCTAATTGGGTACAGCGATGCTGGAGAAAAATTGTGGTGGTGGACGACTTTTATAGTCATCCTTTAGGTCTTCTCAATCTCCTTTCTTGTTGGCGAAGAAAGAAAAGAAGAAGAAGATTCTAGACCTTTTTAGATCCGAGATTGCGATTTCGTGAATTTTGAGAGGTTCCAGAGAGTATTTGGATCACTATCGCTGCCGGAAGAGAGTGGTCGCTGGGAGAGGATCTCCAGAGGAGGGAGAGAATCCAGGTGCACATCTAGCTTTTCCAAGACTTTCTTAGCATCAAATGGTGCTAATCTAGTAGCCGCAAAGCTATTCTATATAGTAGAAGCCTGAAAAGCACCCATATTCGAATCTGCGATTAGTTCAAGGAAATCTTCCTTGTCGATAGCACTAACTCCGTTCCGCATCAAATTTGAAACTTCTCCTCCATAAAGTCTCTTTAAAACCGCGAAACACCCCACATCCAAAGGCTGTAGGAGATGAGAAGCGTGCGGAGGCATACAGATTGCGATGATTTGGTTTTCTTCACACATTTGGTCAAATTCAGGGGTTAAATGACTCCCATGACCATCAAGGACCAGTAAGCAATATTTTCACACCCTTGTCTTAATATTTGGGATAAAATGATGTTTCAACCACCATAAACCAATTGTATTAGTAGTCCAACGATTCAAGCTCATGGTAAGACGAGCCCCTTTTTGATTCAAGAGGAGATAAGGCCGTAGATGCTCTGGGAACTGTTTTCCATTGAAAACAAAGAGCGGAGGGTGAATACTCCCAGAAGCTCTTATACACTCAATCGAGGTCACCCACTCACGATTTCCGGCTTGCAAAAGAGCTCTTTTTCCATGGTATTCCGCTGAAGTGATAATCTTTTGTGTTCCGCCAACACCCATAGCAAAACCAGACTCATCGAAGTTGAAGTTATCGTCTGAAGCATTACCCCACTTTTCAATCGTCCTTTGAAGCAAATCAAACCATGGTTTGATAATTCGAGGGTCTTCTGAAAGAGCTCTCCGATAGTCGTATTTGCGTGAGAGGCGAATAGAGAGATTTGGGTGTCGTTTGACAAATTGAGAAGGCCAATAATACCAGTGGTAGAAGATTTTTCTCGTGCACTGAGTAGAAGATTGGCCATATCTCGCAACATAGGCAAAGTAAGAGCTGAGCCTCTTGAATCCAGATGAAGTAGCCAATTCTCTATCGATTGTTCTTCTGTTTGTGTGAAAACAGGAGCAGATGGCCTCTTTTCAGTAGCAGATTCGCGGCCATTGATCCGGGCCTTCAAAGTTGAGACAGGTATCTCAAAAGATCGTGCAGCAGCTGCAGCAGAGGTACATTTACCACATTTTATAGCTTTAATAGCCATAAAAAGGCAACCCTCCTGCTCTGTCAATTTTTTCTTTTATCAGAGCGTTGAGGAAGGGGGGGGGGGGGGGGGTGCATTGTTGCTGTGGTTAAAAAAGATGGATTATTACTGAAGTGGTTTTTGATGGGGTCGCTCGCGCGGCCGTGGATCACGTTACTCACGACAACGATGGTCAGGTGACTAGGGCCTCAGTAACAATGGCTGTGCACAAATCTCCTCCCTTCCCTTCCCAAACTATCCACTCATCACCAAGCTTAAGCTCTCGACGGGCGGTCTTCGTTGGTCTGGTGCCTCCAACTACCCGTCATCGAGTATCAGTCATATGTCAACTCCATCAACCGTTAAAACAAATCGCAATTAATCAACATGCCCTTTCTTTCTCTTCCAACAGAGATCTTGGAATTGATCACCATAGCACTTGACTACGCAAGTGAGGTAAATTCACTCTCTCAAACATGCCAACGGCTCTATGGTGTTGCCAACCACCGACTTTACGTCGATTTTGCAGAATGCTCGCCTCGTGGTCTAAACCGCGTTGTGCAGAATGATAATACGGATGCACTATACAGGCTTCTAGTCAACGGAGTCAGTTTCGATCAATATTTCCGCACGACTGGGCATCCAACGCCTCTTCGATTGACAGTCGAGAAAGATCTTTCAAACGTGGCTAAGCTTTTGGTGGTATACTTGGAGGTCTTGCTGGGAAATGGTAAGAGTGAATACCGTTTTCTCCCAGGCAACCCGAGCTACCGGGAATATGAAGATGACCTCGAATGGACGTTACACCTTACTGCAGCAAAAGGCAGTCTAGGTGTTTTGAAAGCCATTGCATCTTCTCTTGTCGTAAAATGGTGGCAAAATGTTTCTGCTCTAGCGTATGCTGTTCGATGGGGACAATTGGCATCCGCTCGCTACTTGATCGAGGAGGCTGGGGTGAATGTCAATACAAAAGTTATTGTTCATGGATTCTTTCACTCAGTTCTCGCAGAATCGGCTTATCAAGGAGATCTGCAGATGGCGAAGCTTCTCGTGGAAGCTGGTGCTGATCTCAAACGTCCCGAGTTCGACAACATTATGGAGTCTCCTCTTTACATTGCTGCTGCTCGTAATCATGATACTGTAGTGCAGTATCTGATGGAGAAAGGCATGTGCTTTTCCCCTGTGCAGCCTTATGACATTCATGATCTCGAGGAATACGCTATCTTGCCAAACTATACGATCTCGAGAATTGTGGGTGGAGATGCCATTCGTGC